AAATCTGACATATACTTTTTAGCGCATTTTCTCATTTATTAAAAAATGCACTATCGTGCTCGCCATGTCCGTCTGCTCGTCCGTGACTTCACGTTTTCGTCGACGAGAAAATGCGCTCTCTGTCACTCACTGCAGTGAGTACTGAGTTATAATTTCTTTTATGAAAAAAATGCACTATTGTGCTCGCCATGTCCGTCTGTCCGTCCGTGACTTCACGTTTTCGTCGACGAGAAAATGCGCTCTCTGTCACTCACTGCAGTGGGTACTGAGTTATTTTTTATAAATAGGCGCAATTGACGTTCGTCGCGCTCGAATTGGGTATTAAATACTATTTAGATAATTACCAGTAAGAGAAAAATTTTTACAACACATTATTATAGAACTAGTCATATATAAAACTTAAACATAGTTATTTTTATAACTTGCAAGCTGAAATCGTTATTTAAGGGTTAGTTCCATCCTTAACAGTTTCAAAACGTGTTTCAAATTTGAATAAGTGGTCCGGCATATGCATGATGCTATTTAACTTTGGACAAACTGTGCAACTCGGTAATCACATATTCAATGTCCCTCTAATTGACGAATCCATTTTATTCTAATAAATTCCCATTTTTTGTTAGAAATTTATTCCCTCGCTCATTATTTTTCTGTTGATCACTCCAATTTCAAAAGCGTAATCTGGCACAATTGTGCCTGGAGCCATCAACTCATAGATTTGACTTGCCATGAAGAACATCGACAACAAAACCCCGCATAGAGCGACAAAAAGAAGCCCTTCCCACTCAGCAAAGAAACTACGTTCGTTTACCATTCGGAGGCGCGTCGAACGTGGTGTTTTTGCAGCGACCTCATTGAATACAAATTGGTCGTATTTTCCACTATGGAGCTTGATAAACTGGATCGCAGATCTGTTTTTGAGTCAGTTTGTCTGGCTGCTGGTCGTTTGTCTGCTAATATGGCCCCTCTACCCAGCAATTTTAAAGAATGACATCACCCATATGAACGTCTCAAGAGCGCACCGTAGCTTCAGTCTTCTTGATATCGAGCTCTGGGAATATGATTTCTTCTAAGTTTGTTTCTTTTTCATGCTGAAACGTAAATGAATGATTGATTATAAAGGTTACGGTGTCCTACAAATTAGCATCTAAAGTGTGTCCTTTAATTTTTGGGAATACAAGTAAATGAAATTCAAGCATATAATCAAATAATAGCAAAATTATTTCAGTTATTTGACATCAATAATATGCGTTTAAAAATTTCTTTTTAAAGACAACACTTCTGAACAATCCAGTGTCTTGGATGTTACACATGTACAATGAATTCCTAATTTTATTTTCATATATTGAAAAGAAAAATTATTTTTAAAATATTTTTTAAGATATCAAAATTTTGTAAATTTTCAAAATTATTCATTCTGTCAATTGATTCATGCATTGTCTCTGACTTTGCAATTGTGCAAAATTCCAGATCAATTGGACAGGTCAGATTGGTCATATATGGATTATAAGATTTGTAGCAGACGAAATTATTTTTTAATTTTTTAATAATAAAGAAATGTTTTTTTTATATAATTATTTATTCTGTCTCCAACTTCTGTCTATTCTGTCTCATATAATTATTTATTCTGTCTCATGCATTGTCTCCAACTGTACGCAAGTTTGCCAAATTTCAGATCAATTGGGTCAGGTAGAAGTGTGTTAAATATCGATTATAAGATTTGTAGCAGACAGACAGACAAGAAGGAAAGTTGAAGAGAAGTCTTGCAAGCAAGTTACTTAGCTTAATACTATAATCTTAAACTGAACACAAACGATTTCTTCTAGTTAGCGCGATCAAACGATAGGAGACTTAAATATATTATGCCATGGAATAAATAAAAAATTACTGGGCATATTACTAAAGTCTTCAACTGAACACAAGCAATTTCTGCTTGTGAACACGATCAAACGATCGGAGACTTAAATATATTATACCTTCGAATATAAAAAAGTTACTGAGGTTATTACTATAATCTTAAACTGAACACAAGCGATATTTTCCAGTTAACGCGATCAAACGATAGGAGACTTAAATATATTATACCCTAGATTAAAAAAAAATTACTGGGCATAATACTATACTCTTGAACTGAACATAAGCAATTTCTGCTTGTGAACACGATCAAACGATAGGAGACTTAAATATATTATACCTTATAATATAAAAAAAGTCACTGAGCTTATTGCTATAATCTTAAACTGAACACAAACAATATCTTCTAATTAACGCGATCAAACTATAGGAGATTTAAATATATTACACCCTAGAATAAAAAACAATTACTGGGCATATTACTAAAGTCTTGAACTGAATACAAGCAATTTCTGCTTGTGAACACGATCAAACGATAGGAGACTTAAATATATTATAACTTAGAATTAAAAAAAAAGTTACTGGGCTTATTACTATAATATTAAACTGAACACAAGCGATATCTCCTAGTTAACGCGAACAAACGATAGGAGACTTAAATCTATTATACTCTAGAATAAATAATAAATTACCGGTCATATTACTATAGTCTTAAACTGAACACAAGCAATTTCTGCTTGTGAATACGATCAAACAATAGGAGACTTAAATATATTGTAGCCGCAGCTCATTAATTTAGCGATTATGTAGTGCGAAATGCCCATATGGCAACACCTGCTAGAGTATGCAATTTACGGACTGTATCTCCGCCGACCACTTTTACTCTGTCCGCGACCAGGGTCGCTTAACCTGTTCAGTGTTCTCTTAGTTCATAAGCTGTTTGTGTATTTTCTGGTGTATTTTTGAGATTCTTTTACATTTGTCATAACCGTGCTAAAGTTTGTATTTTCTGTATTCATTTTTCGTGTTTTTCAGATATATTCAATAATTGCAACTGTTAGTTCCTTCAATATTAAACGAAGAAACTGATTTAGTACAAAATTATTGAACCTCCTTTTAAGCCTAGAGCTCAGTACGCCAGGAGGTGTAAACTAGTGCTGAATCGTTCTAGGCGTAGCGTCCTTTGAGGAAGGCGTTACATATATTATACCTTAGAATATAAAATAATATGCGTTTAAAAATTACTTTTTAAAGACAACACTTCTAAACAATCCAGTGTCTTGGATGTTACACATGTACAATGAATTTCTAATTTTATTTTCAAATATTGGAAAAAAATTATTTATCAAAATTTTTTAAGATATCAATATTTTGTAAATTTTCAAAATTATTTGTTTTGTCAATTGATTCATGCATTGTCTCTGAACCTTTGCAATTGTGCAAAATTTCGGATCAATTGGACAGGTCAAATTGTGTCATATATGGACTATTAGATTTGTAGCAGACGAAATTATTTTTTATTTTTTTTAATAATGATTTTTTTTAATTTATAAAATTATTTATTCTGTAAATTGATTCATGCATTGTCTCCAACTTTACGCAAGTGTGCAAAATTTCAGATCGATTGGACAGGTAGAAGTGTGTTAAATATCGATTATAAGATTTGTAGCAGACAGACAGACAAACAAACAAGAAGCGAAGTTAAAGAGAAGTCTTGTAAAAAAGTAACGTCTAAAAGTCGTGGAGTGAGTTTTTTATCGTATATCTTTGAGAATCTTTGAAAAATCAAATGAAGAAACACGAGTTTTATTTAGATTACCATGGGTGATGATTTAGCTGAACATTTGATCGAAGATTCTATAGGTGTACTGCATGGGAGGAATGCGAAAATTCATGCTGCAAGTATAGAAACTAACCGTCATATACATATTTTAAATGCTAAAATCTCATTAGGTAAATCGCTTGATACAAGAAAAATTAATCCTGATGATAAATCCCATAGTAAAATGGGACTTGACGGCGAAGCAACAAGGTAAGTTGATGACAAATTATCGCTATCTACTCACAGACTAGAGATAATACGTGTAGTAATGTGGGAAATTCGAAAGTATTTCCTGAAGGAACTCAATAACTCAATCACGCATCAAAGATCGATTTGATTGACTCTTGTTCTACATCATAGCCACAATTTGTATGAATAATATTAGGAATATTTAGAACACGTTATACAAAATTAAGTGAATTTTATTCTCTGTAATAATAATTCTTGAACATGAGTCGCGTGAATAATAGCAACTCTTTCTCATTCGCCATTTGGAAGAAAAATCACACCCGTTTCAAAAATTTCACTATATGATAGCTGACATTTTTGATAGCGGATTTACAGATAAAAAACTCACGTAAGAAACGCGAAAAAATCTAATGCGCGATATGGTTATTACTTCTATATTCGTACTTTTTATCGCTGCCGCAAAGCAGTTGTGCAATGAATATCGTTTTCACTTCCATGGAAGCTTAGCAATTGAGACCAAGGTTTTTTTTCATAATCAGAAAAGGCGTTAGGGATGAGATTTCAGATGCTCTCAATAGATTTTAAGGAATTAAAAGTATAAAGTAGGTAAACCTACCGGTAATTCAAATTAAAAGATTTATTTCTTCTATTGTGATGTGAAATGATCATTTGGTGGGTGTTCCTTCATTGAATTATAAGAAGAGACTCGGGAAGTCGAGTTATAGAAGTTATTATTATTATTATTGATTATTTTCATTAATAATTCTATTATTTTTGCATTCAACAATCCACAGTCGAAATTATGCGTTGTAGTTGCGGAAACTTTCTAGCTTACGCGATTTTGCGGCGGTAAATGCAAAGATAAGGAAAACTATTTGTCGATTAATGATCCAATTACAATTATTTGCATTCTCATCTAGTATGCTGTTTTCCAGATAGGTTAAATACTTCATGCGCAATGTTGTAATGGATCCAATCCGCGTCAGAGTCACGTCACAGGCTATAATAATGTTTGAACTAATATTAATTATTTTATCTCGATGGTTGAATGTGCCCGCTAGAGATCTTAGAATATTTGTGTTCCGTGTGGCACTGCGGGTGTGGACTTGCAGTGGAGTTCAGTCAGCCTTGTGATGAGGCTCAGTTAGGAGGTGGTGGGGCGCGTAGCTCTTCTTTGGCGATCCAGAAGTGGGCTCACTTACACCTACCTTATCGGAGCAGGGTGTTCGAGATAAATAAATTTAACACTCTAGAAGAGTTCAAATAATGTGTCTAAGATTTCGAGGGAAATTAACGGTGCATTTTCCGAATCATTTAAATAACATTACTACTTTCAGCAAGTAAGGATACTGTGTCTTACTTACCACAATTTAATCCTTCTTCACATTTACCTGGTCTTGATTCTTTGACCAGAAGGGGAAGGTATCTAAAGGTCCTTTACAATTCGGACCTGTTTAGGAGAAGAATCCTTTTCTTTATTTAGTTTCAACAAGTCATGATATGATTAGCAAATCCGAAGCCACCATATAGTACTATTGCTATTTAGTCGAGATAGGATATTGCATTGGGACCGATGAACAGCCCATTTCTTCGTCAAAACTCGAGCAAGTTCTTCAACGCGTTGATGCTACGAGAATCCAAAAGTTCAAATCAGAAAGGTGGGTCGTATAAAATTTTGTACATTATCATATTATTGTTTCAAAATCGTTATCGTGAAAGACGAATGCACCTGTTATTCATATATTGAAAAAACTTAATTCCATTAACGAAACACTTGTAATTAACAGTTAAATACGAGTAAAACAGTTTTACAAAATAACCCATGCAGTTGTTCATTTGTGGTTTCGCTTATGCACCAACTAGTTGAAAAAATTCTTGTCGAAATCGCTCAGGTGGCTGGGTAGTTAGGAATCGGCAACATGCAAACATGTCGAAACTTACGTTATTATAATATTATTTTTAGACTTTATCTTGCGGGGAGAATTTGATTGCAAATTGCTAGTGATAAATTAAGTATTAATTGTTTGATTAACTTGCAGTACAAGGAAAACAGGACTGTTCCAGCGTAATAACTATGATGAATATCACTAATGTTAAATATGACTCGTCAAAACTAGACTTTAAGTTAAGTTCGCAGTTTTCTGAGTTATGCGTAGAACTTGAGTTGTTCGCATGTATCTCCGGCTTACAAAATAACTCAAGTTTTTGGAAATGATCTCAAATTAATATTAGTTTTTTGCTGCAATTCATCCAATTTAAACATTTTTATTCGAAATAAATTGTATCTAATTTGTTTGGGATTTGTGCGTCGTTTTTATATTATACGAATGATATACATATTTATATGATACGTTTTGTTGTGTTGGAGTAGATCCCAAATTGAGGCGACGCTTCCTGAGAATAATGTTCGTTTAATGAGCAGATCGTGCATGTTAGAATTATTCATTCATTGAATGGAACTTGTCTTTATCTCGCAGTATATATTGTAATATTATATATACTTACTATGACAGACGAAGTGGGACAAATAATGTTATAATCCTCTCAGATAGAGGACAAATAATCCGTGGAATTTAAAATAAGACTTGATCACCTTAAGCTTCCCAGGCTCAACAGTTCAATGCAAATCATTCCACAAATAGAACTGAGCCCGGAAATTATTCACGTTTGTTTGACTGTGACATGCATTCATTTTTACGTAGGTATCAACTACCATTATGTTTCTTCGAAATGGTGGTTAGGAGTGAAGCAGACTAAGCTCAAATGCGCCTGTTTTTAAGGGTACTTGTAGAGGGATTAGACATAAGAATTACAAGAATTTGAATAAACATTATTAAGCGAGACCATACTACCTTATTAAAGTAGGACAAGTGAGATATACGTTTTAAAGAGCTGGGATATATCTTGGGGAAAGGGGGGTGTCATTCATCGCACTTAGCTCGCAAAACGACAGGAACATTCACTCGTGCTCCTTCATCATTCCGCAATATTCTAGAAACGCTCTTGTGCTTGCCGTAATTGCTTCTCGGCTTTAATTGGTAAATTCATGCACGTTATTCATATTGAAAAATTCGTATGCTTTCCGTGATCTGCTCTCTAATTATTGTTAACATTTAACCGCGCAGAGACACAAGCGTCTTCCCGAGACGCGGGGCGTAGCCACCTGTCGGTCTATGGCGAACAGTCCTTTCCTCCCTGCCTCTCAATTATTGTAGGTTTGCCCGTGTCATTAGCAAGGATGAATGTTCCAAAAGTACTGGCATTGGAGGCATCTGAGAATCAAGGCCTGGAAACTCAGAGCAACACATGTTGGTTCGGTAGTGTAGCTGCCTTGAACAGGACACCGCGATGCTCCGACCGATGTAGTCCGATCAAAAAGTGCCGGCATTGAAGACATTTCAGGGTCGGGAACTAAAGCGAGATTGAGCACGCGAACAAATTTTTACTGGATTAGTATATTGTTCTTCGTGTTTGATTCAATGCTGATAAGGACATCATGTAATAATTTATGATTTACAGGAAAATGTAAATACTCGCACGTCAATATTTTTGGTTCCCAGAGTAAAATCAAGGACTTTAATTAAGTAACTGTTAAATCAACAGTCGGATTTTATTTTTAAGTACAACTAGCAACTTGTTTTAATAATAGTCCTTTGTCATCTTGATTTGTTTGTTATTTGTTTATACTATTTCTAAATGAAAGACTTGAAGACTCTTGATTTAAGCGTCCAATCGTCGTGTTGTTTTCCGTGAAATCTTATCCCGTCTTAAAGTTTATGTATACATATATATATTTTTTCTCTGTATCTTGACACACAAATGATGAATGAGCGTTATCAGTTGCTTCAAGCTCGTTCTCCTGTTCTCACTACGTAGGAAATAACATCGTGAACTTCATTTGATGTTTTTCTTACCTTACTAATGTTTAGTACAGATTTACTGGCGTCGCTTTTGGTGACATCTCACTTTTTCGATGAGAGCAAATTTCCCACTTATTTCTAATAATTTTTCTCTGTCATAATTTTAAAACACTGATTTTGGTTATGAATAGGCGAATTTTTGACACTAGATCTCCAAGAATTTCATAGACGTATCTTGTGAAACAATAGTTTCTGCAGATATAACATGGGAAATGTTTGCTATCTACTATGAATTTTGACATAAGAAAAATAAAATATAAGCAAATTGAATTCCAAGTAATTTCACGCCCAAATAATTATGAACGACTACCAAGTTGCAGCACTAAGTCAACTCACCGAAATATTTAACCACTAAGACAAGTATGAACTGCAAGTGACAAACTATAATTTACAGGTAAATTTTGGGCGGACGACTGAAGGTCTGAACTGAAGAACCACGTGACGCGTACATGTGAAATTTTGATATCAGAAACGCTTAATCATTCTATTCGTGATTGAAATATCTTTGTCCCATGGCTACCGCTAACTTAAAAATAACGCAACAAGACAATGTTATGGTTATAAAACTCAAGAATAATACAACATTTTCAATGAAATTCTATAGTTTGCTGTCGAAAGATGGCATCCCACTTGATATCGAAATGCGCGAAAGTTCTTGTAAGATGAATTTGACTGCAGAATTGCAATTCCTTTCAACACTAGCAGGAAGCGTATGTAAGGCGATGATAAGGCACGTCATGTGTGTGTATCAGTTATATGCCCGGAGATGACAGATATCTCTTGATAAGCTTAGCGGCGGTAGTAAAAAAGCAGCTGCAGACAAGTGTCACTCCATCATCTTCAGGGACGATCGAGACGAAGCATTCAGTGTTCTTGCTAGACATTTTATTTCCTATTACGCTCATACTAGGAGTTTAGACGATGTTGTAAGACAATCTTTTAGGTTTTATACGACAAATCGATGTCAATTTGAATGATGTTTTTTAATTATGGATTATTTTCAGAACAGAAAATAAAATTAGAATATTACACAGACACTAATCAGTTGAAGGTCCACGTTAGGTTTTTTCTCATTCATCTCATCATGCTAGCAATCTTTATAATTAATAATTTCACAGTAACTTAGATAATTTGATTTGACTTCAGAGCAGCGTATAATAATTCGTACGTACTAGAGAATGAGTTAAATGAAATTTGCTTGACGTCCGCAAATTTTTTCCGATTTGACGGCAGATTTCATTCAAGAATATTTTACGACATTTGTATTCCGTTGTGTTGGAATGGACGATTTAGACGACCTGCCCACTTTTGTTGTCGGTTATTTTAATTAGAAATTGACTGCGTCTCAAAGCCAGGCTATATTTCTAAGATAACTGCCCCATTTCTTAAAATTTTATATACCACCGATTTCAGTCATAAGAAAAAAATGAAATTAATTCTTGCGATCGAATATCATATTCACCCTCATTCTCAATGATTTCCAATAATGTTTCCGCTGGTAAACTCTGAAGGGAATTTTCATTGTCACCTCTCGAGCGTTGGATGTTTTCCTTGTGATAATAATTAGAATTACTACGAGGATAAGGCTTGCGTGTTCCTCCAATATTTTGCTGTAAATTTTTTGTCCTGTCTTGGTTCGCGTGATCGACTATCTCGCCTGCCATCACTCGTTCCTGTTCATAATTTGAGAGCACGCGTTGTTTGACGTCATGACTTGGACAACTCTTCGAGCTTACGCCTCTCCCAGCAGAAAATTATACGCATATCATTGACGGCCTGCGAAAATTACTGGCATTTATTTTGCGACTGATACTTTCCTAGTAAAAAGTCGCAGAAAATGATTAGCGACCTGCAATCGGGCTGCCACAAGTCTACAAGAATTATAGGCGCGTCTATAGTTCGTCAAGGTGTCACCGCGGTATACAGTATATTACACTCTCTTCAAATTTAGATTTGTTCTTAGTGCATATATTCAACCATCAAATGAAATCAAATTCGTATCAGGCTTTACATATTTCAATTGTAGTCCCGAAAATTTTTCTTGAATCATATTTGTTATCTACAGTGGGTACAATTAAAAGAACTTTATGATAAAGCATAAATTTATGATGGTTTTCCGACAAGCACCAATTCAAGTTTAAGCAGTAACTAAACATTGTGATAGCAGTGGGATTCAAATTTAGTTTTCATCAAATAAATGTATTACAACTTTTAGAGGAAGCCTAAAAACATTTTTTTTAATTTTATCAACCTAGACAACGTGAAACGAAGTGCATTATTTGTAATAAATTTGAATTTGGTATTTTAAATGAGTAGCACTAATAATTCATGTACTTAATAATAATACATTTTGTATATATATTTTTTATTTTAAGTGAAACGGTCAATACTTTATCGTCAGTTGAATTTTTTTTTCTCTTTAGCAATTTAGGTTCAGGCTATTGAATGGTCGTCACTCAGCATGTACCTGGAAATAACTTCCAATTTGACAAGGCCCGTCTCAAATGAACGCGATTTTTAATGAGAACTTTTAACATTCTCTATTTGATCTGATTGTTCACTACACGCAAGGATCTATATGAGTGGCTAGATAGAACGACTAGGCCGGTTGAGACTCATCACAATTATTTTTATACGCACGCAACTTTCAATAAAACTTCGAATCTGATTGTGTCGAAAATAAAATGAAAAATAAGTCTTGATGAATCTCATTAGAGCATTGACAATGTAGCATTAATATTGCAGCATTAACACATTATTAACTAGCTTGGTTTCAGCCAGCGTGCTGAAGCGTTCCCAATGAGAGTCGGTATTGAATGAAGGGGACCATGAAGTCAACATTTGTTCCCTGTTGACAGCCTTCAGACTCCCTAGTACTTGCACAAAACCTCATGAAGATGGCTGCTTTCGAGTGAAAAGTCAGCATTAAATGCATAAATCATTTCATACGAACAAATATAAGAAGAAAGTTAAGCATTGAGCATAACATAGAGTAAAATTAAACTAAATTATATAAAGCTAACGTTACCTACAGTTGATATTAAACAGGGTTGGGTTTTTTATCAGGCTTGGGTTCTTTAAAATACATCTACCATAATCATAGGCAGTTTCTCTGAAAGGAATATTGTTTGAGCTGTGAAATTTGAAAATTGCCAAAATAGTCCAGGGATTGCCACACAAGTGGAGCCAATATAGATACTTCTATACCGTCGATGCCGATGACGTCGCCACAGCATTTAAATTGCCGGCCTTCAATAGAAACGATCTATATTGTAAACAAAACTGAACCATGTCTTTCCAGAGCGACAGAAGAAGCTTTTTAGTTATTTTGTGGCAATCGGTCCCAACAAATCGTAGTTCTGACGAGTATTAAAAGTTTTTTTGATGACGAGCGGTGACGTGTGTGCAATTTTTGCTGAGTTGCGACTTATGGGTCATTGAGTAGGCAGGGGTTTCTCCGAATTAATCAATGCAACACAAAATTATGGACGTATCAGGCCGCGTCCAAAATCATGGACGTTTCTTACGATAGGCCGCGGGTGAGTCGAGAAAATGCCGGGCGGAGTACAAGTTAGGCAAAGAATTTCGACCGTCGTGCTGGCGAGCCGCGACAATTACATTTTTGAGCGGCTTTTTGATACAAATTAAGAACGAAATGTCAATGTAGATTTTCAATTAACTTCATATTTTAGGCCATTAAACCTATTTGTGCAACTTCAACGATGAAACAAAGTGTATTAAATGTAATAAATCAAGGGGACAATGAATGAAACGGCACAGCCGGGTGAGATTTTCAGAATTATTATGCAAATCCACGACATATTCATATGCATTCTAAACGATTTCCTAATAAATAAATGAGATATTTTCCAGCTAGAACGTTAGTTAAAAGAATGCAGTTGACGAGTTGTTCCTGGTATGGAGGAACAATAATGAAATGGATTAACTCACAATAGAGAGAACGAGCGCTCGAACGTTGACAATAGACATAAGGTCCACTAATCTATATATGAAACAGAAAATAAGTTACTTCAATGAAATAAAAATCACATAACTTTCTCGCAATCAAAACGTTACTTGAGTTCTCGACACTTGAATTACTTAAATTTTTCTACTTCGGTACTTAGCATTAAGTGGCTCAACTCGGTTCGTTGAATTTACAGTATATGTACATGCACGAGAAAAGCCCAGCCAGTTTCCATCAGACGTGGCTCGTAAAACGATATGAATGTTACATGCTCCTTATACCTTACGCCCAATGATCTTAATCCAGAATAAATTAACTCTAAATTGAGCTTAAATTTTCATAATTTTTTTCTTTTTAACGGATCCCAGAGTAAACAACAATGCAGACACCCATTGAAGATGCAACCTTGGCCATTCATAAAGGTGATCGTGACAAGTGTCATCTGGTGACGACGGTCTACTGAGATCATCCCAAGATGAGGGAAACTCGATGTGTTGCAATGGTTGTCTCACAGCTTCTTCTACTCAACCATCTCCTCATGGGCTTAGCTCACAATAATTACCCAATAGATTCCCTTCATCCAAACGCTATCGATGGCATCTACTACTCCAAGCATGGAGTCACGAAGCCCTTCAAATCCCCCGTTAGCTATGAGCTCGTTGGAGCAGAAGAATCAAACGGTGAGTATAACCACTTAACTTCCAAGAATGCCCTTAAAAGGGTACTTAGAAGAATGTTACAATGGAAACAGTACACAAAAATTCAGATACTAAAATTTTCAACATCACAAGGATTGCAACAGCAAGTTAATCTATTTGAGGTTTTGTTCACGTATTCTGAATGGATCAGATTCAGTTTAACTTGCTAACATAATATTGTCTCGAGTTGCCGCTTATGGATAGACGAACATTGCGACACTTGAGGCATCTGCGCTTTCAAGAAGGTATTATAATATTATATATTATAAATATTTGTTTGACTGACTCGGCAAATTTACAAGGCTTGTGTCATATGTATATAGTTTGCCCGAGGTAATTTGCCAATATCGTATAGTTTAGCATACTGTTTAAGAGCTGCTTTATCAATTCAGTGTCATGATATTTTAAGTGTCATGATATTGTACCTAGTAATGAAATGTTTGATAAATAAATTAATTTCTCGGTTCAAATGTATTGCGGTAGGCTGCAGCGCGGGGTGTAGCGCGTGCTCGGCAGTGAACGGCTGCCTGTCGTGTCGCGCGCCATACTTCCTCTCCCTGCGACGGGAAGGCGCGCGACAGCTCGCCTCCTGCCACAAGTCCTGCCCCGCTGGCTTCTACAAAACTCGACTCGACAACTACCGAGTGTGTGCCCGTGAGTTGAATTGCGTTTTGTTTATGGTACGGAAACTTTAAATGACTGAGAATTTTGATCCGATTTGTTAGCATAGTTTTTTTAACGAAACCCATTATTGAATTTTTCCAAAGACCATATTATTTTTAGACACTTATTTGAGCTTATTGTAGAAAGCTCTCTAGAAAATTTACGAGACATAGTTTACATTATTCGTATTTTATAATTTTTTTAGAAATTTCCTGATAACTGATAACTTTTTCGAATTTCTCTGGGAAACTTTTTTAGTACTATAACTATTTCCAAGTTGTGTTTTAGGCTGTTTTATGCCGGGCTGCCGGGTCTGTCGGCGGGCGGACCGATGTAGCGTCTGTGAAGAGAGCTTCCGTAAAGACCTCAAGTCAGGGCTCTGCGTGCAGCCTTCAGGTGAGATGCTCAATAATTGTCTCCTAGAACACGTCGAACAATTATTCTCTAAGAGTTACGCGTTGAAATTACTTACGGGGCAACAGAACAATTACGACCACTTCAATTTTACTTTTATCTTCACTTTACTTATATGTAAAATTCTATCTCTATAAAGATCTATAAAATATAATCTATTATATAAAATCTCTTTTTCTATAAAATATAATCTCTATAATATTCTATCTCTATACTGCTTTTCTGTACTTGGTAAAAATGAATCAATCGAGGCTAAATGGAAATGATAGACGTTCCGGGATGGTAGAACTAAACCACGCGTTCATCTGAACCTAAATCTTCGTGGGCGCTAAGCTCTCCGAGTTGACGATCCAATTTACTCGCGCGATCTCAAGATAAAGATTAGAAAAAATCTTGCCTTATATTTTATCTCCGTTTTTTTTTGTGAGAGAATCTGATGTGATGTTGGCATAAACTGGCTCAAGGTGGTAAATGGTACATGTTTTGGAGACATTTTTTCGCATAGAAATGATTAATTTTTCAATTATCGATTACATGCTTGAAGTGACCGTTTAATGGCTTAAGATTATTGCATTGTACTAAATCACGAGATTTTTTGATTGGCTGAAGAAAATATTAATGTTTGACATGGATTACAGACTAAAAATCTATAATAATAGTCACAATAAGATATTTTCTAGGCATGATTTATGGCATCTAAATTAACTTATTCTTAATTATTTACTGTATAAAAATTTGAATTTCAAAGTAATTCCTGAGCGCACTCATAATTTCAAATTTAGTCCAATAACGATGTTTCTATCTTATTTATTTGTTTTAATGATCAAATTCATCGACACTATGAAAAGTGTCTACTTATGTCGTGCACCTAATGATGCGTATCTAAAATACGGTCTAGGGGGCGAAACCCTATGTATTTAAGGTACTGCAGGGTGCGCTCACTTGGGCGTGACCTCACGTACTGCATCACATTGCAGTTATTACAACACACCGACGTTATAGTTAGCGTTATAAACTCAGAATTTCTATTCCTACCGTTTATGATACTCTATTGACATTAACAGAACATGACTAATTAGTTTACGCGTCCAGTGACGAAATAAGTTGTCAACAACTGGCGAAATAAGATCGCAAAGTTGGTACCTAAAGCCATCTTTCGCTCGCATGTGAAAGAAATTATGTCCATTGTCTTGTGAAAACAACAATTAGAAAGTTTAAAGGGTCCACACACGGAATAATCGATCAGCTTTTACGGCATCTACTACAGACTACACAACTCGCGCCGCCCTGCAGGTGACGTACGGTAACTGCACTAATTCATCTCATGGAGCCAGGTTTTGCACATTCCGATATTTACACACGCATATTTAAGACTTCGTGCTCCTTGGTGTAACCATTAATTTATTTGTCGGGGTTCACGTAGCGTTGTCTGCAGCCATGTATCGCAGACAGGGCAGAGCCTGTACGGTAGTAAATGTCTTCAAATGGATGTCGACGCGGCCCGATAGACTGATGTCAACAAAGCCTTAAGTCTTCTTTCTACAGCACACGTGGGATTTTGTATGGGATTCTGTCCTAGCACGGCGGCCTCTTCTGTCGACTAAAGGCTCATTAATATTCAATGAGCTCTGCTAGGAACACCTTGCGACCGCCGTCATAGATCTCGAAGAATCCTCATCGCCATACCGTGCAGTGGTACAACTCGAGGAACTTTACTTCCATCTGGGATCATTGTTCTCGTGGCTGGCAACATAAACTCTCAACGAGTGGCGTTCAGGTAACTAAGATCAATTCACTGCCACTGAAATTATTGACCTTCATGCATGTGTCATTAGAGGCTGCAGTACCATGTCGTGGCTCGGCAATAGCGACTTAGCGAGCAGCACCATGCCGTGGCGCAGCAATATCTGATCCAAGACGCAAGCAATCATGGCGTAGGTGGCCTCACCAGAAACAAGATGGAGCGACATGATCGGCAATTGGACTGGACCCCTCGATGCGATTCGGAACCCGTCATTAAACGATCGCACGCTACCATCAGACCAGCTTAATATACGTCAAGGACGTGTGGGCTGTGACTCATCTTTGTGAACGAATCCTCTTGAATTATTCCCATTCTCAATTGGTTTTACTTCACGTGACTTAAAATTCATTCAGTATCAAGAACGTCAATCAATGATACATTTTAATTTTTTATATTTTCGTGATACACTGACAGTTTCCTTCGTCCCTCCAATGTACACGATGATACTCGTTGAAGTTTTTTTTTCACGCTCAGTAATTTTTTTGCGCTTCGTTGGGCTGAGCACGATTGCCAGAATAAAGCTTGATATTATTTTGGCATGTTCATCAAATCAAAAGTAGTAATGATTTAATTCGATTACAAGGCTTTATTATTTCCCGTACTTTTTTAATAATTCCCTTAAAATACTTTATTTTTAAGCATACCTACGTTTCTTGCACCTTGTATTTCGAAGCCAACTGAAACACGATTAGGAATTATTTTTACAACACGTCTCTTTAACTTCACTTCTTGTTTGTCTGTCTGTCTGTCTGCTACAAATCTTTTAATCGAAATTTAACACACTTCTACTTATCCTATCGATCTGAAATTTTGCACACTTGCGTAAAGTTGGAGACAATTAAATGCATGAGTCAAAAGACAAAATAAATAATTTTAAAAATAACTTTTTTTCCAATATTAAAAAAAACGAAAAAATAATTTCGTCAGCTACATATCTTATAATTGATATTTGACACACTTTTACCTGTCCAATTGATCTGAAATTTTGCACACTTGTGTGAAGTATAGGAGGCAATGCATGAATCAATTGACAGAATAATATTGAAAAAATTACATATAAATTGAAATGAATTGAAATGAAATAATTGAAAAATTAATTCTTTAATATTCTAAAATAAAATTGTAAATTCATTGTACATCTGTAACATTGGAAACACTGGATTCTTTAGAGTTGTTGTCTTTAAAAAGTAATTTTTAAACGTATTTTTTTATTATTTATTTTAAGCTTTTGTTGGCTTCAACTGAAAGAAGAACCCAGCCATAAATTAACCAACTTACGTTGAGTTTTTTATCGTTTCGACGAGAGAAGCAAGATACGCAGACATCAACTGAGCATCATAAATGGCTGGTGACACTGGGCTGATTATTGTGACACATAAAGCCATGTAGCCAACCTTGTATCAGGACTACAACATCATCATGTGGCACCATAGATCATCATGATTGATGATCGCGCAAACGCTTCTATAACATCTCTTTCAGAACCTTTACCTCCGTGTGAGCAAATAGACGTTTATCATTTCTACTGTATTTTTTAAAATCGTTATACGTGTCTCAACGTTTCATATAATACATTTAACATTTATTTTTGTCATTTTCTGTTCCATTTCTCTCAAAAATTATTTTTTCTGAGGAAAAATGTTAGAAAGTTTGTTTAGATAATGCAGCTTTTTCGTCAGAATTGATTAATTTTTGGAATCTTAATCTCGTTCATCAAAATAATGAAATTCCCTCTTAAAAATGTCATATTGACAATTCATGTTATCCATAATTATCCACTGTTTTCAATTTTTATTCTATAAGATTATTGTTAACTCCTGAGTTTAAACTGGTGATAACTTTTTGCCTGTTCTGATTCATTTATTAATAATTAAAAACCATGAAATGCAACAAAAGGTCGCAAAGGGTAATGATTCAATATTTTCACTAATAAGGCTCTTTTTCATTGTACAAAAAATTATGGCAGAATCATGGCTGTTTCATGGAATGCCATAAAGCGCTGATAATATGACAGTATTATCATAAGAATCAACGACACGTGGTGGTCACCGTACGTCCTCCAGCAGGTCGTGTGTAAGTCGATAACAACGGCTATTGAAAATCGCGGAACATGAATTTCTTGTTATCAGATTTAAATGAATGTTTGCCAGCCTAAAGTGCTAACAAGCTCAATTTAATTGGAGCTTCTTTGCATGTTTTCCAGTTGAACTTCAAGTATACGTTCAATTTTATTGATCTGCTGTGCAATAATGGTTCTCGCACATGTCGACCATGCGTCTGTCAAGACCATGATTCTAACTTGAGAGTTAGTTTGATACTAACTTGACGGATCTTAAGTGGCAGACTGGCCATGGGCATGGGATTTACTAGACTAAAGGAAGTGAGAGTGTTTATGTGTTGGTAGGAGGAACGCTTCACAAGAGCCAAACTCGACACTGATCGTTCATGGATCTAGAACAAGTCCAGCTGATGCCAGGGTGAGTCATGGTGTCAAAATGTTCGTGGGGCACTAAGGCGGCGAAGCTCACTGATTCGGACCCTACTATGAAGCATTCAGTTGTGATTTTACAGTTAAAAATTCAATTAATTGATTGAACATTAACGATGCATTAAGAATTTTATTATTTAAAAATTGCATGCTTCATACAGAACCATTTAAACCTAATGAAAAAGTACCTTGGCAGGAATGACCATCTAAAATCGAAAGCAAGAACGCTCAGGCACAGGCGCGCATCGTTCGCCTTGAAATCAATCATTTACGATTTCTACGGCGCCTACGATTTGTAACCGAGTTCTGTAAATAGAGACACGCCTTATTTATGTGGCTTGATTTTGCTCTATACTCATAGGCGGGCCGTGAAATTAATGTGCTCTGACTATGAAAATAATCGACATTGTGATGCCAAATTTACTGTGCCGTCGAGTTCGATCGCCCACTGCATCAATCCCTCAAAGTGGACCTGTCAGCTGGCTGTTTATTTTCCATGTCTCGTTGGCATTTGTTACTAAATATTTTCTTAGCTTCAAGTGCACGGCTAAATTATTACCTTCATCTGTATTCCGTTACAGATACCAAACTAACAATAGCATCTGATTCTTTGATAATTGATTTTGTGGCGTATTCTTTGCAAAAAGTGGTGTACGAGTTACATTTTTCTAGTCCTGACTCAGCCACTTAGTCTGGCGCAACCAGTCTAACTACATTCACTGGTTGAGGCAGACATCTATGAATTAAAGTCTCGCACGGTTTATTGATACTGCGGCTAGCGATGTTATTTACTCCTCACCGGTTTTATTTACGCATGAGTAATGGAGGTAAATCGACTCGCCCTACGACGGACGCCCTTTGCGCTGCAGACCTGTCCGTTTCTAAAGAATTGTTAATGTGTTTGGGAGAATTTATCTTTAATTGCCTTGCTAATTTATTCTGTGCTGCACTTTTGTTCATTATTATAAATTTTAATAAGCCCTCGAACAATGCGCGAGCACTCGAAGCCCGGAATCTTTACGACCGGCTGGCTACAGAGTTTTTCTGACACGGGAGGCGCTTTCTTTGATAAGCGGTGCGTGGGAGCTCTACTCTGACGGATTTTTTCTTTTGTAGCGTGCAATCAAATGCGCTCGATATTTCCTAAATTATCCGAGTCAACTAATTAATATCATCAAAATATATAAGCCTTCAATTCAGTTGCAAGTTTGCTATCAATGCGAATTTATATTACATATTTTTTTAATTAAAAGCTCTTAAACAAGAGCCACTCGAGCGTAGTTTCACTCTAGGACAAACCCCAGAGTGTGAGCCGCAATCTTTACTTGGAGCTCCAGCGGTGCACCAGGCGGGCACAATTTGCACATCGCTGGACAGGGCAGTAAAGTCTCCCATTAGCGAGGCGTTACGGCGCAAATGTCGCGCTTTATCAGTCGAGATGCAGGAACTTCAGAAATAAGTCGCGGGCTCTCGATAATTACTAAGGCGGAAGGATGGCATTGCTGGTGCAGGGACTACAATTGACGCTGGCTGGAGCCGAGAACGATGTGCACATCGCTAGCGAGCTATTGTAGTTCTCCCGCGTAGGCGGAATGACGATATTAAATCACGAAAATATCGGTGCCACTAATCACGCAGTTTTTAGTTCAACGGCATAAAAGATTTAATTGTATAATTATTTAGTCGAACGTAGGAACTCAGGATAGAGTGATTTCTCACTTGTGATGTGAAAATTTCAGCTCTACTATTTATGTTCATTCATGCTTTTAATTCTCAGAATTGTTTTTCAAATTCATAGTACTGTAACAAGTGCTCTGCCACCTTTTTTAAGTTAATAGGAAGCAAAATCGGTGCAAGACGTATATTCCTGACAGACACTGTTATGTATCTGTCAAGGACTACTACACACAGGACATGCATAGCCTATGTCCAGCCTCTGCTAGCAGAGGCGATCGCCTACACTATGAAAATGCTGTTGTTTTAGTGGTCCACTAAAACAACAGCATTTTCATAGTGTAGGCGATCGCCTCTGCTAGCAGAGGCTGGACATAGGCTATGCATGTCCTGTGTGTAGTAGTCCTTGGTATCTGTGTATACTTCCCGCTTTCCACCTTCTTATTTTTTTCAGATGAAACATCTGTGTCGGCGAGCTCAATGCCAAGTACTGATCTCAGAATGCACCAATCTTCAGGTTTCTCTTTGAACAGTTCATCATTTCGGAAACTCCGTTTGCGACGCCGTAAGAAAGGAAGGAAAAATTCTAATGCCAGACGCCGACGACTTCGAGGACGGGGAAACAGGCGACTGAACAATCGAAGACGCAAGCAAATGAAGCTTAGGAAACTAAGAAAGCTTGACCCGGCCGAAAATGAAGTCCTGGTTGATACAAATCTCAATCTACCACTCTCATTGAAGGGGTCAACTAGCCTGAATCACGAGAAAGTTACTCTTAGTAAAAGAAAGAATGTCTACCGTGGTGTAAACACAGCAAAATGGAAGAGACTTGAAAGAATTCGCTCAAGAAATGAGCTTGACTATTATGGCAATGGATTAGACGATCCTTTGTCTATCTCCCCTCTCCAAGATAGTCGAAGAAAAATTCTCAAGTGGAGCAAGAATCCCCCTCAAGTTTCTCTGGCAAGACCGAGTCGGCACATCAAAGTTGGATTTAGAAACGCAATTAATTTGCCCAAAGATGGCCGACATGTTATTGATAATTCGAACCAAACGATCCATGAAAAGGAAGTAAGTCTAGATTCCAGACAGCTTGGAAACCCAATTCGTCTCGATATCGAAGGTACGAGCAAGACCAATCAAGTAGTTCTCAAAAGCCGTAAACGTGCTACTGGTTTCAACAGCCGATCTCACCGAAGAAATCAATTTCAGAGTTTCCAAAATTTCTCAATGAATAACTCCACTCAAAATGAGGGTGGCGTTCGGGTAAACAGGACTAAATGCAGAGCATCAGGTAGGAATTGTGAGTTGCAATCCAGTAGTTCAGCTCGCATAGGAAGGCGTCGAATGAAAGCACGGAGGCGAGCTCGTCGCAAAATTAGGGCTCAGGGTGAGATATTAGAATTAAGTAATTAGAATTACCATCATTAAAAAACTTAACTTGAATTAAAATCAAATTTTTTCATCTTTTTCAACAGAAACTTTGAACGTTATACAAATTGATGAAGTAAATTGAACATACGTCCTTCGAGATTAGACTGGCATGGTGTAAAATTAAATTATATTATAGATATCGAACTTCCATGCAAAAGACTGTATTGTAAAATAATTTTCAATTTGTGTTTATAGTTTTTAAAAGTTATTTCTCAATTGTGTATAGTTTTATTGTGTTAGATTTACAGCAGTTTTTTTTAACCGTGATCAGAACGAACATGTTGAGTTGCTTTTAAATTTACCGTCGAAATAGACAAATGGCTTCATTCAGTTACGTAAATGGTACTCTTTTTTTAACGTTAAGGATAAATATCTTAAAATAGTTATATCTAAAATCAAATTTAAGTATCCGAAATGTTGTAACTTTAAATATAGGTTTATATTCTCTAGCATTGGACTGACAAAGTTATTGTTTCGAATGAAGTGTGAGAAAAGCTCCATTGCTCTCCGGACCACTTTCCTTTATATAACGACATGTGAACTAACTAACCTGCTTTGTATTTAAATAGCTTCATCGAATATCGAACTGCCTGAAAGAATTCTACCGTCGCTGAGCTAGAGAATAATGAACATCGTCTGATAGTCGGGCATATCGTTCACTCAAGTCAATGATAGAGTGACTAACTGTATCTTATACAGAAAGTGATATACTTTCAATGGGTCTCCCTCACTCACTTTTGTCACGCGACTGATTTTAATGAGTTACATCTGAATCATTTTGAGATTAATCGATAGAATAAAATGAGTCTTGGAGCATATGTGAGTCAGGAACACGCAAAGTGCATTGTCTTTCAAAAAAGTCCGATTGAGTCATTCAGACTCCAGTACACATAAATCCAGGGTGCACGGAACTCACGCATAACCCAAATCCGTCCGATTAAAACGCACGTTATTTCGAGGAACGAGAGCTGAAAAATCCCAAAATTTAAAATCATAGTTTTTTGGCATCTTAAGGCTGCCGCGGCTACTCGCAAATACCTCACAATATCTGTGATCAGGTTGGAGTGAATTTAGTGACCGAATAGAAGTTATAAACTATGATGATTTATAATATGGTTTTCCATAATATAGGTGAATTACTTGTGATCGTCGATAATCGCGCAAATGTTCGTACAGGCTCATAAACGCAGCAAACAGAATTCCCCGAAATAATTTTTTTATATTGCTAAATGAGTTACATACTTATAGAAGTTATAGTTTATTTAGAACGAGTCGCAATTCATCTCGACGACGCCCGTCCTTACGCATCTCTACTTACCTACCATTAAATAAAAATAAAGTGCCTTCAACGCAGCTTGGATGGCGAATAATATTTTGTTTTGGTGTTCAACTGTGATGGCATCGCCTTCTTAACTAATCGCTTCCTCGTGCATAGTACGAGTGAGGTCCTGGGAAATGAGTTTGAAAGCGCACAAGTTCTTTTATTTAGAGGATAGAGTTGAAAATCAGAGTTTAAAGGGATAATTTCATTTGATCATTTCAGAGGTTAATTTGTTTTTTTTTTCACGCTCCAAGCCAAAAGTAGGCGTTAAATATACTGAATCTCCATTTATGTTTTCTTATAATCCCACCCCTGCCAAAAAAATAGTTAAAAAATTCGAATGGATTGTTGATAACTTTCTGACTACTTGAGGTTAGGTCGCGAAGTGGGGTTCTAACAAAGTTCTAAGTGATTTTACTTCACGAAACTCAGTTGGTTCTTATAAAAGTGTGTGGCCGACAAGAGATGCTTCTGAGAGTCAGTTTTGAAGATGCCGATTGTTGACGAAACACTGAAGGCAGCAAGAATTTTTTCACTGATTTGCAGTAGTTTCAGAAATGATATATACGGCCGCAATGGGCGATATTTTAGAGCGAAGGGCTACTTTGGCGACCATTGACGCCTCCACGTCGGCCTAAATGTATGCACGTTTTTTGTCGAGCGCTTGAGATTCGAACATTTGACTATCAAAGCCTCCTGATAGAGAAAATAAAGTAAAATAAATACTCGACGTTATTTAGTTAATTTGAATAGGAAAACAGTGCCAGGCTAAAATTTCTATATGAGCATTAAAATTTATTGATCTAATTAGCTGCATATGAAAACTTTGATATCAAAATGGAAGACACTTTAATGAAAATAAGTTAATAGAACAAGATAACGGTCCAAACGTACAAAAAGAAATCTTATAACTAATTCAACACAACTGTTTGTCCCGGGCAGAATTAATAGTTTTATTATTGGCGAGAAGAAAATTGTGTTAAATAATAAATTTGCAACAGTACCAGGGAAGACATTCATGCGTAGTTCGCAAAGAGCTGCGTGTGACAAAGAAAAGCGAGGTAAGAGCATGAAGGCAGAATTACACAAATATATACATGAAATATTTTCACTTGATCATCTTAATAAATATGAGATTTACTATACGAGAATATCACTATATTCATATTAATATCCTACGCGAACTGTCGTTACCAAGGTGGTCTTCAACAGGAATGCTTTTGGTTTGCCAAATTAGGCTATAAAGATTGAAATTTCTTTGATTGATCCGATAACTGTTGAAAAAATGTAATGAAAATTAGTTCCAAAGGGGATGGAATCTTGAAAAATATGCCACGTACATTATATTATACGTGCACGATATTCTTAGGAAGAAAAAAAAAACTGCCCGTTTTAGTGTTGCGTTCACCAACTTTGGATATTCATGGATTCATTACGAAGTTTGTTTCTGCTAAACATTATTTCTACCAACATTATTGTTTCTTCTGAACAGTGTAGAACATTTAAATAAATGTTCCATAAAATAATTTATAAATTTTGTCGCAATTGATAATTTAGAGAGTAACTTCAATGATAAAAGTTTAAAATAGCTGGAGAAACAGCACACGTTGACCTGCGCACGCGGAAAAGCTAGTGCATGCAAGTGTGCACAAGATCCGAATGGGTAATGCGATTATGTAATTATTTCAATCGTCATCTAGTTTCCGAACTTATACTAGTGATTTCAATATGAAACTTAATTTTCGACAGCATTGAAAAGTTGGCCAGTGATCTGCACAGCAATGCATTCATATTTCCTTTTCACTCCTGTACGCAATATCACGATCTCACACATTTTGATCGGTCGCTAAGCGAACACAATTGATTAAAAAATGCAATACTTAGGTTACCCCTCGCCTGAAGGTCGCACTAGCGGCGTTAAAATAAATTTCTATAGAACAATTCATAACTTGAGATGAAAAAATATAATATAGTATAGATTAAAAACCTGTTACGATCATAGACATTAACAAACGTTTTCACAGTCATTTTATAATCTTGCTAGAAGTTCACACACTTTTCAAACGATGGGATGAAACATTGCTTAAAATATAATGAGTACAAACACAACACAAGTACAATGTCGGTAGGAATTGTAGTATCATCAAGTAACTTCATTTCGAGTTTGATTTTTGATTCTTTGTCTTCTTCTTCCTTTCCTCCTTTTCCTCAAAATTTTTCTTCTCGACTTTCGGCCCTGCTCCATCTGAATCATGTTTTCTTCCATTTCGCTGATATTCATCCTCGGCTCTAAGTCTATTAATCGTTTTGAAAACTTTCGTTTCTTGTTTCGCATTCTATTCCTTCGCCTCCGTCGCCGACGTTTACCATGTCGTCGCTTGACTCGACCGCGACGCCGTATCAACTTCCACGCCGCCTGGCGTTGATTTTTCGCAATCCTGTCATGAAACAATGAATTTTCCTCGGGACTATGCACCATGACACCGTACACCTCCTGCTGCGCTGACGAATCATTAATAGTTGGGCCACTGCTGTAGTAACTCATTCGCCCGAAAGAAGTCGTATTCGGATTTTCTCTGACAGTTTCTGCAAGTCCCGACCAAATTGTTTTATTGAAACCACCAAGCCGCTTATTGTTGAATTCTCTCCAAATATTTTGAAGGTAATCTTCTTTCTGTTTCCTATCTCGACGTGATTTCGGTGATGAGAAATCTTGCATTTTTTTCTTGTCGAACTTTAGTGAGGAGTGATGGCGGTCTGGAGTCGCATCCTCGATGAGGTTCGAGGTCACGTTTCCGAGCCATAAGTCGTCATGGGAACCTGCAAAGAAGTCATTTAATTATCGAGTCAATTAATGATAGCTGTAGAGAAACAGTAATTAAATACTAGATCATATTGTATCCTATATCCCAAAGGAGCCGTTACTTTAGCCTAGCATGGAATGGAAGGAAACTTCGCAGTTATACAGGTATTAAATATAACGCCGAGAATAATTCGGAAGGAATACTATGGGGATATTATTCTTACATTACAACTTCGGTTTAACATTACATACATTTTAGATTCAGCCTTATTACTAAAATCTACGAGTATGTACAAAACTATTGTGCTGCTTCTTCATGAAGTTTCTGGAGTAGAAAGCACTGGTGTGTGAGCTGGTCCGGAGTGTCAAACATGGCACAGGAAGCGACCTAAAGTTCCAGGAAATGACGCCCCAATATTTCCACACTTTGATAACTCTTATCGCTCACACTGTCCACAGAACAGCCTGCAAGAGCTGCAAAAAGTTTGCTCAGACAAGGCACCATCAAACGTGGCGTGGCAAGACGAGGGCACCGTCTGTCGGCGCTGCTATTCGACGTATTGTGGCAATTCGGATTGAATTTTTTGAGAATGAAGGCAACTGGGATCGAATTTTTAGAGAACGTTATTCATGTTCCTCTGTAGTAGAGTAGATTTTTTAATTTGGATTCGATTTTTGAAGTGAGTACCTTGCAACCGCATAGATGAACTCCCAAAACGGGGAGGAGATTATGGTTTTTGTTTGTGTTGACTGGCCTATCTTGCATATTTGGGTTCGACTAAAAACATGGGCTCTGCAAAAATTGGAGAAACTTCGAGTGAACAATATTATCGTTAAATTTGTTTCTAGTGTGTGTTATACAAACTTGAGGTTATAATGGAATCATTATTATATAGTATTTTATATGGTATTAGAACCATTATAGTATTTTGAACCATTATTTTATGGCTCAATCGATCCCAAATAATATATGCACAGCATTCGCCAGCAAAAGTTTATAATTTACATTAAAATTATAGGCCGAAATGAAAATGTAGGTTTGTTCAGTGAATTATTCGATAACTTAAATAGCATAAGTAAACATATGTCAATTTTAAATCTACAAGGAAAATTGCGCAAAAATTGGGCCAATGTAAAATTAATAAGGTACAGCAGTTCAAAAACAGAGTAAAAGGTGCTATCTCAAAAAAAAAAAAAAAAAACAATAAATACAGTCTCCCACTTTTGGTAGCTTCACATATGCTCAAAAAATAAAACCTTAAAAAGATAAATATTTGTTAACGAATCAAGTGCTGCTTCTATCTGTACAATTATGTGTGTCAGGGAAACAAAATACAGACCTACGGGCCATCGGAGATACAGATTATATGCATATTACCAATAATCGGATTACATTTCCTGCGTTCAGTTCTCGCTACGCTGCAATTAAGAAGCCAGACTTTCGAACAAACGTTCTTTGCAGACATGAAGAAATGTTGTTGAATGAGCAAAGTGAGGCTTAAGATGAGGCCTAATGACATACGCCAACTGTAACTGCCGCCAATTGCTGCACTAGAAACATTACAGGCTTAGGAACCAAGCCTGCAGAATGTCTCTGACTCATCTCGCGGCAGCAGTGACTAGCCTTAGCCATTAATTCTCCAGTGCATGAGCCAGAAGTTAACTTGTATGAATTGCCTTTGTTTCAAATGGAGGTGGGATTTTTTATTTGAATGTAAGAATTGATGGAGTTTCGAGCCGTTGTTTGACGTATATGGACAAAGCTTCCAGCACAATTATAAATTAGCATTCAAATTCAACATACATGGCCGATAAAGTTATCTTGCAGCGTTGAAATCCGGTTTTGGCAGCAAAGAATTTCAGAATATTGGAAGAGTGGAAGTGGTAGTGAAACTTAGTATTTAAGTTAAACGATCTATTTTAATTTACTGCTGCAATAAAGAAATATAAAAGTATACAAGAGATTTAAATTTTGATATTCTGTCCATCATGAGGTTGCGATAGATAAATTAATTCAATATAAAACGGTAAGTGCAAATTTTCAACAGGCACTCAAAACAGTTTGACAAGTGTTTAATATCGAATTAGAAAAAAAGGTATACATCAGGGTATGCTAGTGGCAGGAATGATAAGAGAACAGAAAATTCCAGTAACAATCCGTAGACTTTTTAAACTACTCCGCTCGAAAAACATGTTTGTTGTCTTTCTTGCAGATACTTTAGACTCGTTGACAAGCTAAATTCTGTACTCTGTAACATGCTCGTCACCCGGATTTCAGTCCAGTCAAAAATCATCTGTTCTTTTTTCAGTTTTCTAAAGAAACTTTTCCAATACACCCAAAAATAAAAGCAGCAAAAAATATCCCAAATTAATAAATCCTAAAGTTACAGTAACCTGACGACGCGTGAGGGAGACGCTTCCTCTTCCTGACGCAGGTGTTGCGGTGTGGGAGAGTGCCTGTAGGACAGGCGCCCCTGCAGCGTCCTCT